ACCTGGCGGTTCCCCTTCTAGCCTACGTCTGATGGTTAAAACGCGCTCCTGGTTTCACAGCTGGCATCCTTCAGAGACGAGCAAGAGCTGTTGCCTCCTCCTGGCTCGGGTGTCCCCGCTCTGTCCCCTCGCCCCGGCCACACGGCTGCCAAGGAGACCACCGAAATCCTGACCCAGGGAGCCCACCCGAGCAGCGTGATGAGGGATCCCGCTTCATCTCCTCGAGGCCAGGTCACTCCCTCCCCTTCAAAACCCCCAAATCCTCACCTCGGCACACCCAGGCACCAGGCCCGGGTGCAAACCTTCAGCCTCACCCTCCCACCACCATCACCACGGTGGCTTTTAAAACACCTTTACTGAAAAGGGTTTTGGACCCCATGCTCCGGGTGGGCGCCGCACAGAGTCTCTCAGCTCTGTCCATGCAGGAGAGCGCGGCCTTCCCGGGACTCTTCTGGGGCTGCTACACCATCGGTATCCCACAGACCATCAATCTTCTATACAGGGAGAGGAGCCAGGCCGGGGGCGGCCCTGACGCGCGCGCACAGACTGTACAGAGGAACGGGTTGCTAAAGAGTCTGCGAGAGCCGTCCTGGAGGCGTCCGGCCACGTCCCCTCCTTCTCGGGGAGCCACGGGCACCGGGACAAGCGTGCACGGCCTGCAGCGGCTGGCTCTGGGCGCTCGACGACTTTCCATGGGCCATCCCCACAGTCATTGCACTCCTTCCTCTTCCACGTACGTCGAGGGAAACCAGCCGACCTGCCGGGGAAGCGGAGAGGTGAGATGGGCACCGGGGAGCTGAAGGGACCCTCCCGTCGTGTCACCGGGACTATCTCCCTGCCACCGGGCGCTGTTCCTGGTGAGCCATCTGTGTGGATGCCCCACATCCTCATGCACGCTGGTGATGGGCACGTGGAGCAGTCGTTATCCCAATTTGGGATGGAGCTATCAACTATACATCGCTGTAGACACACGGGTTGTGTGTGATGTATGAGGGGTCAGGGCATGAATGGGTTGCCCAGAGAAGGTGTGGATGCCCCATCCCTGGAGGGATTAAAGGCCAGGCTGGATGGGGCTTTGAGCAACCTGGTCTGGTGGGAGGTGTCCCTGCCCAGGGCAGGGGGTTGGAACTCCATGATCTTTAAGGTCCCTTCCAACTCTAACCGTTCTATGAAGAATCTGGCTCCAGCGCTACAAACTCTTGAGGGACATCAGGGGAGCCATCCACCTGCTGCTTCTCCTCGGGATGCTGAGCTTTTCACCCGCACAAACCCCTCACGTGCAGGTTTAAGAAAGAGCAGATTTGGACATCACTCGCTCACTGCACCTCTGTTGTGTGTCACCATCACACAGCACTGACCAGCAACACAGTGGTGGCTTTTTGAGATGACAGCCCATCCACAAGCAGGAGAAGAGCAAGAGGGAGTGGGATGTGTCCCCCTGCCCTCTGCCGTCCTCACAGGGGGCTGTGCTCCGGCTGGGCAGGCTGAGAACAGGGGGAGGACCCTGCGCTGCAGAAACGGGACAGGACATGATCTGGAGGCACTCACTCTTCCGTTGGTCTCCCCCTTCCACCATCCCTGGTCCCCGCCAATCCTGCTGTAGATCTTCACCACGTCGCCCTCCCGCAGCGAGAGCTCCCGCATGTCCCGCGCCGCGAAGTTGTATCGTGCCACCGCCGTCCCTATGACCCGTGGGGTGAACACTGCCAGGGGACAAAGCAGAGGGAGTCGGGAGCTGCCCCATCCCATGGGACCGGCCGAAGCCTGGGGAAAGCTTGATGAGGTTCAACCTGGGTTTTCCACCGTGGTGCTGGCTCCCATTGCAACACCACGACCTGGAGGCGCTTGATGGTGGGGCTGGCCTCATCCAAACTGCTCAGCCCCACACAAACTGGGGTGATCGGGGTTAAACTGGTTTCCTGCTGGGCTTCAAACAGCTCCATGGGCTTGGGAAGGCCCTCTCTGCTGACCAGGAGAGTCCAGGAGGGGCTTGGTGGGGATCGCTGGGGTGAGGGGCACTTTTGTGGGAAGGTGGTAAAATTAAAGAGTTCACAGGAATACACAATATTAAAAATGAAGTCATGGAAACATCCTGTTCCACTTTCAATATCAGGTCTGGCTGCCACACAGCTCCCAGCACCTGACGGGACCACTTTGTCCAAAGATTTCACAAATCAACTTGCATTTAAACTACTTCAAAAAATTGAGTTAATGGGATTGGCTTCTCCTAGAGATGCTGGGCAAAACCCGTGTGTTTTGCCAGGGACCAAAAAGGTGCAAAACCATCCTGCAAACCCTAACACTGACCAACAGCTTGTGATAAGCCCTTTGAGCCATCCTGGGACCTGGCCTCCACCAGCACCAGCACGGCCCCAGTAGCTTGGATCTCCATCACTTCAGGCAGGGGATGCTCAGGGGAGGCAGGAGAAGGAGCAGCAGCGAGGGGCAGGGAAAGGCAGGGGCAAGTGCTCAGCTTCCCTGCCCCAGCATCTGGGCAGAGGGAAGGAGGGCAGGAGAGCAACACTGGGAGGGATGGGATGGACAGAGGAGGAGAAAAAAGCACCTTCTCTGAAGTTTGGGAAAAAAAAAAAGAAAGAAAAAAAAATTAAAAAACCCCACCCTGAAGGGACATCATGTTTTGGAGAAGCTGCCCCTTTTTGTCCCAGGACTTTGGAAGATGAATTTCAATTTTAAAAGTTTGCAAACCGAGGTTGAACTAAGTTGGAGGAAAAGCTTTGCCCAGGTTTTCAGCTCTCGGGATGGGAGGAGATGAGGATGGCGATGGAGACGGTCCAGACATAAACGTGCAATCACTGGAGGGCTCGTCCATCCTCGCCAGGCAGCCAGGCTGGAGAGCGGAGCGACAACCACGGCAGCCTTGAGCTCTGTCATCAGGAGCTTGCTCAGAGCCCTCTGCTGCACAGAATACTTTCTGCAATACTTTGCGTGCAGTTCAAGGATCCTAAATTCCCAGAATTATGCTCTAATACCCTGAAAATGTTAAATGTTCTTCCTGAACACGGCAGGACGGAAAGCACGCGTGGCTTTGCCGATGGTTTTCCCTGTCCAGCCTAAAAAAAGTGCCAAAAGTTAAAAGCTTGAACGGGAAGCCATGAACTGACATGGTTTTGCTCTGATCCCTGCCAAACAGACCCAGAATTATGCTCTAATACCCTGAAAATGTTAAATGTTCTTCCTGAACACGGCAGGACGGAAAGCACGCGTGGCTTTGCCGATGGTTTTCCCTGTCCAGCCTAAAAAAAGTGCCAAAAGTTAAAAGCTTGAACGGGAAGCCATGAACTGACATGGTTTTGCTCTGATCCCTGCCAAACAGACACCGGTCTGTAACACATTTAAATCAATGGGGTTCAAAGGCCAGAGCCACAAAGCACATATGAGAGGGCAGGTTTTCCCCTCCCTGGTCTCCCCAGCGAGGGGCTCCTGAGCAGCCGCAGACACCAGAGCTCAAAAACTACCAGACATTGAGATGTTCTCCTTGTCCAGCAAGGAGAAAGGGGCTGGAAGACAGTGTGATGCCAATGCTCGTTCGGTGAAACACACGGGATAAGCAGGTCGAGCTTGAAGTACATCATGAGATCCCAATGCACTAGATTCATTTTTGCATTAATTTTAGCCCCCTTTCTCAAATAGCGACAATTCCATCTCCTCCCTGCCTTGATTTTGGGGAGGGCGGGGGGGAGCGCGTTTTGCTTCCAGCCAAGCCATGGTTAATTGACTTAATTCCAGGCTGTGCCCCAGGGCAGCACTGGGGGACCCCCTGAAGTGTCTGTGGGTGGGACAGCGGGGACCCCGCGGGTCCCGCTCCGATGGCTTTCAAGCTGGGGATGCTGCAGCCTGGGGAAGGCAGCAGGTCTCTCCGGCACTGGTACCTGACCAGAAGGGACTGGAGGAGCTCTGAGAAGAAAAGTTGAGGCCCTGAGGACTGAGAAAAGAAAAGTTGTAGGAAGCGCAGGAGGCTGCAAAGAGGTTAGAGAGAAACAGAAAGAGGCAGAACACGCATTAAAAAGGAAATGGAAAAAAAAAATATTATAATGCACAACGCTTTAAAAGCCGACAGAGGAACACAGGGCAAAGCATGCAGGTCTCGTGTGGGGGCTCAGAGCTGGGGCAGCTGGTGGCAGGTCTGGCCACAGCCCGTGTGGGGACCCAAAAGTCATCCTAGGTTTGTATTTCATGCCAAAGGATATTTAATCAACTCTTAAAAACTCTCTTCCTTTGGTATTCCTTTTAAAATATACTATGGAAAAAGTTTTTTTAAAAATGCATTTTCCCCACAAAGTAGCTATTTCTGCACTCAGGCTTTTAGACAGAACAGAACACTTTGCACTAATGCACATTTTGCTTTCTGTTTGTTTTGATTTTTTTTTTTTTAAATTTTATTTTCATTTACACAAAACAGAACATTTTGCACTAATGCACATTTTGCTTTCCGTTTGTTTTGATTTTTTTTTTTTTTACATTTCATTTTAATTTTAGGCACAGACTTACCATTTCTCCCATCGTCTCCATTAAAGGAGTCCCACTGGGATTCAAACCATCACAAATCACACTGGGACTGGATCCATTAAAACACACCCCAAAACCTCCCGTGGGCAGGTGAGACCTGATACACCCCACAAACAGAGCAGCACATCTCCATCACCACCCCCAGGCCCATGGGCTGCCCTTGCCCTCCTGGCAGGACCAGGGGGTGGCAAACCACCCCCAAAGCACCGGGCAGAAAAAAATCACATGAGGGAAACCAGTCTCCCCCAGCAAAAGCTCTCCCTGAGAGGCTGCAGGGCTGGGAAGCCCCAGCACAGTCAGACCCCCCGCGATCCCTGCCACCTCCTAGAGACCTGTCCTGGGCTGCCCTTGCCCTCCTGGCAGGACCAGGGGGTGGCAAACCACCCCCAAAGCACCGGGCAGAAAAAAATCACATGAGGGAAACCAGTCTCCCCCAGCAAAAGCTCTCCCTGAGAGGCTGCAGGGCTGGGAAGCCCCAGCACAGTCAGACCCCCCGCGATCCCTGCCACCTCCTAGAGACCTGTCCTCAAAATGCCACCAGCCGAGCAGAAGACTTCTTTGCAAACTCGAGGGGAGCAAAGCTATAAATCCCTTCATCCAGATGGTGCTCCTGCACCTTTTGAAAGGCTGAGATTTTGCATCACGAGTTTAAGGGCGCCCGCTCGCGCGGCTGAGCTGGGTTTTACCTGGAGAACGGGTGAAGGTCCTGGAGGTAGAGCGCTCCCGAGATTTATAGGGGTATTTCAGCGTCGTGTCCAGCTGCTTGAAGCTCTCCTTCAGTGAGTGGCTCTGGTAGTACTCAACCAGCTCCTGGGAAGGATGGAGAGGCACCCAGCTGTCTCTGCCATCCTCTGAGTGACTGGCAGGGACAGTGCACGCACTCCAAGGGGCTACAGGAACCTACCAGCAAGCTTTCAAACTTCTTGGCTTCCGTGATGTGAATCCAGTTGTCCTTCTCCACCACCTTGATGTGCTTCACCTCCTCGTTGAACCTGCCAACAGTAGCAGAGGCACTCAAGAAAACATAGCCGTGTGCTCCAGCCCCATCTCACCCTCCACGAGTAACACTAAATTACTAAATTAAGTATTACTCACTTAATACTGATGGCGAAGCGCTCGGCCTCAGCTGGTCGCTCCCGGATCAGGTAGGTGCCACTGACATGAGACTTTAGGAGGTTGTCCGTCTGCTGCCGCTCCATGTTCCCTGCAAACCTGAGCCCAGAGGTTAACTAATTAATTTAATTCACTAAAAACCAGCATGTTTTAGACAAAAACGTACATATTTTTCTTCAAGGTGGGAAGGTTGAGAGGGCAAGTAGAGAAACAGGTCTCATGCAAAACTTCATGAGAAGAAAGGAAAGTGTCCTGAGACGAGTGCTCAGCCACTGAGCAGAGAGGGTGAGCGACGCAGAGTGTAGACTCATCTCTTTGGAGTATCTTGCACCTAGAAAATCCCACTAATTGGGAATCAGGACCCAGATAAACGAGGCTTTGGGAAGAGCTGGGGAGCGGGGACAATTTAGACTCATGAATTTGCAAACCTGGCTAGAGCTGGAAGGAAGGAGGAGGGGATGAGCCAAGTGCAGCCTCTCCTGCCAAGGAAGGAATTGCTTCCTTCCTCCCAAAATGGTTTTCTGGGCACAGAAAACACAGAAACTGGGAAGAGAACCCAGCATCTCTTCTTTTACCCCTGACCCTCTCCAATAGTGAAGAAATCCCCACTGATGCTGTGAGGGCTGCACCAGGTTTTAGTGTTGCTGCTGGCAAAGCATCGCTAACCTGCATCCACAGTTCATTATCGGAGTGGATTCCTGACAAAGGGACAATTAAAAGGCAAGGCTGATTTATCTTTATGGCCAGAAGAAGGCCGTGTCCAGCAGGGCCACTCACCACGGGTACGCCGTGTAGTCTATCTCCCGCGAGGGTGGCCGGCTGTTGGGAGGCTGCAAAAGAGAACATCGCTAATTAGGGATGAGCCGGCGTCTCATCAGGCTGTAGATCAGGTGTGAGATGCTCCTCTCCATGGGAAGGGTTTCCTCTGCCAAACCATTTCCCAATTATTGGCTTGGGAGGCAGAGGGCAGTGCTGTAGCTGAGCGTTTCTCTCTCAGCCTCCCAGCTGCACTCGGCAATTTACCCGAGTGGTTTTTAATTGGGAAGAGGCTGACAGCGTTACAAAACACACTTAAAAAAAACCATAAATCAATAAAGTGCACTTTTCCTGTACTGTGACTGATCTGGAGTGCTCTGCTCCTGAGTCAGCCCCGTAGAGGAACAACAGGGTCCAGACCTGGTCACACCACCCCAACCTTGAGAACGGGGCTGAGACCAACCTGACCAGACATTTGCAACCATGGGGTGATGGATCCACTTCCTCACTAATTCGGCTGCAGTAAAAGACCTTTTTCAAGGTCCAGGGGCTTAGTGGAAGGACCAAGGTCTCAAGAAGGTGGTTGAGAAGAGCGACGGGCACCGTTGGGGTGTCACCTCCCATGACAGCCCCCAGTACCCATCCCCGTGTTCCTGTGGCATCCACAGGTGTTCCCAGCTCCAGCTCCTCTTGGCACTTACCCTGGCATCAACGGGGCAGGGCTTTACCGACGAGCTGGGAAAATAACCCGACTTCTTCGTCTGCAGCAGCCGCCCCTGCAAAGCCAAGGCTGGGTGTCAGATGGGGACACCAGGGAGCAATGGTTTTTGGGTGCAGGGATGGGGACGGCCACCGCTGCAGCTCCCGGGCTCTGGGAAAGCCTACAGATCACAGGGATGATGTAGGAGTCACAGCTTTAAAACTCGCTGGGAATTTCCCTTGGGGAACCTCTCTCACCTCCCACCACGGCGAGTCGGGGTCCCCCCTCAGCAGCTCGATCACGTCCCCAATTTGAAACGTCAGCACTGGCTTCCCGGGGGGAGCTGGGTTTCCGTGGTAATTCTGAACCGCCACCATTTTAGGACCTGGAACAGATGCAAAACAGTTTCAATTTTGTCCAGTTAAGAAAAAGCAAACCAGAAATTCCCCTGCCCGAAGCCTATTGTTCTTTATCCCGTGAACCACAAACCTGAGCGGCACCAACCGCCAGGATTTGGGGGCAGAAAGCGTGAAAGCAGAAAGGACCAGTGCCCACGGAGAATGCTCTTGGCCCCGGCAGTTACATGGATGGCTGAGTTCACCGAGCAAAAATAAACCCATGAAGGATTGAGCCAAGCCAAAGCTTCGACTCCCAGCCCTGCACCAGAAGCTGGCCATGGCAGACCAGCTCTCGTTGGGCACCAAACCCTGCCAGGATCAGCAGTGACCCCCCCACTTCCAAAAAGGGACCAGCAAACACTCGGCTTCCACTGAATTTCAGCCAGATCCGGGACTCAAACTTGCAGCCAAAGTCCAGCTGTCTCACAAACAACTCCACATTAAACAAGCTTCCCCAACTGCACTAAAACCACAGTGTTTATCTTCAAAATGCTTCCCCACCTCTGCCCCTCCCTGCCCAGCGAGAGCACTCTGGGGTTTCTCTTTTTTTAACCACCGATTTGATTCAGGTTTCTTTTTGCCAGGCTCGGCTTTCCTTCCATCAGAAAAAGCACAAAGACAAATTGTTCCTTCTCCCTCAAGCCAGAGCACGGGCAGGGCAGGCCCAGCGCTCTGTCGAGGCCAGTTTTAAGGAAAGGAAGAAAATCAAAGAATATTGCAGTAATCATCATGACTAACGGCCCCATCAGAGAGCAGAGCCCGGAGCCACACATCCTTGCGTTACTCCGGACACGCGCCGGCAGGATGATGGTCCCCATCAGCACTGAGACCCCCTGCCAGGATGTGTTTGGTCTGCTCTGAAGGATGATGTGGCAGAAGGGAATTGGACAGGCTCTCCTCTCTTACTGGTGCGACGTGGAGCAGCTTTACCCACACGGCAGAGCAGCCAGGGCCACGAATGCACCCCATGCCCGGAGCCACACATCCCTGTTACTCCGGACACGCGCCGGCAGGATGATGGTCCCCATCAGCACTGAGACCCCCTGCCAGGATGTGTTTGGTCTGCTCTGAAGGATGATCTGGCAGAAGGGAATTGGCCAGGCTCTCCTCTCTTACTGGTGCGACGTGGAGCAGCTTTACCCACACGGCAGAGCAGCCAGGGCCACGAATGCACCCCAAAAAATGAGGAGGTGCTGGTGGCTGAGCCCAGGGAAGAGCTAGGGCTTCCCACAGACCAGACCTGCTGCTCTGGGGACAGGGACAGGAGAGACCTCAATGCCCCATCACTTGCCATGAGGGTGGCAGAGGACCCTTCTGCACCTACTAATGCTCCTGTTTGGTTTTGGAAGGAGCTTCCCCCTCCAACATGGCTCGATGTTAGGGACACCTGCAGCCACAATCAAGATGCTGCCTCTACTTTGCCCCCCTGCAATACTGTGATGTCCTTACCGGGTCCAGCACCCAGGGAATCCTGCAAAAAGAGAGGAAAAAGTCTCTGTGAGGACACAGTGGTCTTACCACCACGATGAGGAACCCTCTCCCAGAACCTCCCTGGTACCTCCCAGCCCATGGCTCCCCCCATCTGGGTGCTGGCACCTCCCGAGGGCTGTGGTGCTGCACAAATTGGGCCACTTTTAGGCTGGAGAAGAGGCCATCGGTCACAGTCCTGCCCCTCCAAGTTGGTGGGATCCCCTGATGCTGGTCCTGGCTCTTCCCATGAGCTACCCACACCCCAACCAGGCAGGGATGGATACAGGCTCTCCCTGAGTGGGATATGGAAAAAGGGCCATCAAACAACGTACCTGGTCTGCTGAAGAACCTGCAAGAGAAATGGTGAAATAGGTGGTTAATACAACAGGCACCAAACCCAAACCTCATTTTCTGTTTCTCTTGGTGCTGTAAATATCAATAAATCAGCATCAGTGCTTGAAATTGATGGAGGAAGCAGAAAGCAGAGGCTGGGGTCACCCGAGTCATTGCACCGGGTGGGAAAAAACAGGGAGTGACTGGAGCCGGACAAGGACACAAATTTTTACTGCACTACGGGGTGTTCGGGATCTGGAGATGAGGTCTCTCCTCACCAGAAACATGATTCCTGGTATCGACCCTCCTGCTTTCATTAACCAGCATCTTCTGATGAAGAACTCATCATCTCTCTTCAACGCCCTCCCAGCACGAGGGCTGGGAGCATCCCACACCGAGCTGCCGCGATCCTCTGACACACACGGGATTCAGCTCGTTGTTTTGGGGGGGTCTGGTTGATTGGTTTGTTTTTTAAAGCACCAGCCAATGTGAATTACAGCCTTGGGAGGTGGGTGGGAGTGGACTTGGATTTTTGTTATGCATTAACAAACAGCAGTGCTTTACAGAGCAAATCTTTCACATCAGTCACACACATTCACCTCCTTGGCACGAGCTGCTCACGATGGGAAATAACTCACCGATCTTGCAGGGAGGAATGATCTCCAAGCACTCCTTGTGAGCACCTGCTCCACATTTGGGGCAAAGATAGCCCTGGTAGAAGGTTCCTCTGTGCAAAAAAAGAAGTCACAAAGTCCTAATTCAGCCCCAGCTTTGAGGTTTTCTTTCCGTGTTTTAAGGCAGATGCAGAAAAGCCGGGTGGCTGCTGCTCACCTTAGGAACATCCTGCAGGCTTTGCAGTTGGTCGTCTTCTCAAATGTGTACATCTGGAAGTTATGGTGATTTGCATTGGCTTTCTCTGGCTTTATGTTGGACCTAAGGGAAAGGACCGGGGGGTTATCAGCCTGTCCCTGCTCTCGTGACCGGTCACAGCAGCTGCTGTTTGCATTTCAGCTGAAGTTTGGAAACCTCACGGACAGATATGAAATCAAGTGTGAAAGCGGACGTGGGGCTTGACCGTGCAGAGAGAGGATTTTGCCCATCACCCTTCCCCTGGGACAATGCTCATGGACCTGGCCCTTGCCCGAGTCAATCAACAGCCCAGACCTGAGTGGGGCCAACCCTTGAGCTGCTCAGGACCAGCTCCCCACAGCAGAGCCCTCCTCCCGCAATGTCCTCCTCCAGCCTGGTGCTCCATGCATGCCCTGACACCACGGCGAGGTGTCACTGCAGAGATGCGCCACCCACGCTCTGGTGCAGACACTCAGGGTGGGTCCAAGCTCCCTTCACACAGGGACCCATCCAGCAAACCCCCGGGAGCTTCCCCATCACTGGCTCTGCTCTCAGAGCTGGTCTCCAGTAACCTGCTGGTCCAAAACACCATTCCACCATGCCTGGCAACCACAGGCCAGGGCTGGAGCAGCCACTCATGCTCACATTGCCATTTCAAACTGCTCCATCCACTTCCTCTTCATTTCCTCTGTCTTGCAGAAGAACTGGAAGCCCTGCTTCCCCTGAAGGTGAATTAGGTAGAAGCCGTAGGACCACTGCAAGAGAAGACAAGAGAGCTGATCAGACTGTTGGGCTCCCAACGCCTCAGCAGCCACACTTTTTTACACACACACCACTTTTTGACTCAGGTCTCTTAATAATTGCTCTCAGTGCCTGCCCCTGGCCCTTCTGAAGGACGGCTGAACCTTTGCATAGGTAGCAGCAGGGAAGGAGGAAGAAGAGCTCCGTGTCTCTCTGACTAATGATGCCTGAATCAGCTTGGCACCGTGTCACCAGGGCCCAACAGGATTTTATGGTGGCAGATGAGAGAACCCAGATTTTTCTGCTCCAGTGGATCCTCCCCAGCCATTATATCTCTCCCTGACAGCAACTGACAGCCCAGGAGGAACATCTGACCTGCCCACTGCACATATGCTCTGCCTGTCTCGTTACAACACTGCACAGGAAAACACGAGAGAAAACTGTGTGCTTTGCTTACCATTTTTCCATGGGACTAGAAAGCATAGGAGAGCAAAGTGGAAATATATTTCATTAACACACAAAGTTAGCAGTATTTCTTCAGCATCCAAGTGGCAAAATTGGCAATTCTTCCCCAAATGTCACTTATCCCACCCGTACAATACCTCCTCCCATTGCATGTAAGTGGATTAAGCTAATGGGACCCTGCTAAAGTGATAGCTGGGAGGTTTTCCTTCGTGGCTGCAGACTGAGCCTCAAACCACTGGAAAAATGATGTTATTTTGGTGGTAAGTGTGCTCCAAGTGCCCGTTTTGGCAGGTTGGTGGGCAAAGGCTGCCTTTCCCTGGCTCCTCCACCCTGAGCCTCGCCGGAGCGAGAGCATCCACAGGGACTGTCCCTCCCTCCCTGCCCTCCTCTCCACCCCCTCACCGGCAAAATGATGTTATTTTGGTGGTAACTGTGCTCCGAGTGCCCATTTTGGCAGGTTGGTCAGCAAAGGCTGCCTCTCCCTGGCTCCTCCACCCTGCGCCTCGCGGGAGCGAGAGCATCCACAGAGACCTTCCCTCCCTCCCTGCCCTCCTCTCCACCCCCTCTGACCCTCACCCCTTGCCCGTGGGCCAGAAAACAGGGAGCAGCTTCCTCTCTCCTAACTCCCACCACCCCAGCCTCTCCAGGGCTGTTTTGGCAAGGACAGGGAGGGGGGTCAAGGATCAAGCCCAGCCCCACATTAATAAACATTTCCCAACGCCCTGAAAGCTGAGCATTTGTTTTCCAGCTTTTTGCAAGCTCTGTTTCTATTTTAAAAGGGCTAATAAGAATGTACTACCAAAGGACTGGCCCAAACAGTGCCAAAATGCTCTCCAGCAGAGCCAATCCCTGGTCCTCCTACCTTCTTAATGTCCTTGTTGTTCATAGGGTCATCAGTCATCTTGTGGAAGAGCAGCTCAATAATTTCTTTCAGCTCGTAATTGTATCCTTTCCTTTTGCAGACGATCACCACTTTATCAAACAAAAATAAATACCTGCCCGAAGCAAGCAAATAAACAAGCAACCCCGTCAAACATCTCATTAAAGTCTCCAATGGAGGAGAAATATTTGGGAAGCTCTGCAGAGCTTCCCAGCCAGGGCAGCTCAGTGCTCGAAATCAGCTGTAATT